CTGAAGTGAAAGATACCTGCCGACGTTGATCGACGGAGGAGTCAAGCCAGACTCGTAAGTCTGATTACCTAAAATCGTAAAGTTTGAACTTTTCTCCAATAGTTCGGTCTTCCTTTTCAATTGTATATCCACGCACAGTTCTTTAAGGCTTGCATTCATGTCCAGTTTGGCTAAAGATTAAAATTATAGAGGTCAAGGAACCAGGTATTGCACTTGCCGCCATTTTGTTCTACTTGTGCCCAGTCGCTCCTCGGCCAGAACCTGCCTGCATGGTACAATGGGTTCCCAGACAGTGATGGCAGCCTAATCTGAGATCAGCAATCACGATCGCAAGCTAATGATAGCGTGGCATTCTGACACACCGCCACCCAGTAAAAATTCCTGCTTGATTAAAACTGTAATTTTTATTGTAGTCCATATGAACGTATTATTCCGCTTACGTAAATCTCACACCACCATCTTTAATGCAACATTTTTCGTGTTTGTCAAACATTTACCCGTCTATTGTTCATCTCAATAACGTCCCTGATTCTGTTATGAATAACAGAATCAGAATCAGCACCATGAGCTCAGGATATGAGCGCTATATGAGCGCTGTATAATTAAAGTTATTATTATTATAATATCGCAACTCTATGTATTGTGCTAATCTAGGGTTGGGAGAGTAGAGATAAGATATATTGCGATTCATTGCTATCGATGCACATGAATACCACTCTCAACACCTGTGGACAGCAACTATTAGTCAGTCCTTTCATATCTCATAACGGGAGCTGTCAAGGTCAAGCTATCACAAGTTCTGTGAAAAGTTTTTAAGTCTTAGCGCAATTAACAATTAACCTGCGGTGAAAATGGTTCAAGGGTTGTGCACTCTTCTCTTCTCTCTCTTTTTTTGGAGGGAAATTTCTACATGAACCTACGCTCTTTCAAAAGCAAATATTCGCCTATTTACAAGCTTAAGTCTGATTTAATTTTTCTAACAATACAGAAGTAGTAAGATGCAAACAGTTACTGGTAGACTGAAGTTAGAGCGTTAGCTGGTTGAGAACCCTTCTGCGCAGGTGGTATCTTTCTGAACGCTCGACTATTGCCTCAGCATCTTCTTCTTCGAGACTAACCAATGCTGCTGGTTGCTTATCCATTTTTTTCATTGCAGCCAACCTCGAAAAATAGCTATTAACTTGTTGGGGAGTGAGCCACTCGTCTTTCCAAATATCCGAGCTCCCTCCTCGGTACGTACTGTGCGCATTCGTGCTGAAGCTTCGGCAGGGGTGACTTTCCGACCAGTTTCTTCACCAATCATGAACTGCTCGAGCAGATAGTTCTTAACTTTAACAGAAAACCTGCTTCTTCGCTTTGATTTAGTCTGCGCCCACCCCATACACAAAACATTTTTTTCCGTTACTCCAAAGGACGAACTGGCCGTTAAGGCACAGGAGGGATTTTGTGGTTTCAAACTTAGGCAATGCTCAGCCCATTTGTGTCTGATCTGGTCATATTGTGACTCTTCGTGGAGTTTAATCTCATGGCGGCCAAAGTCCAAGTGTCTCTGAAGGGTTTGATTTTTTCTGAACGTGTTGATACAGCCCTGTTCGGGGCAAGTGAACCAAGGAAGGCCCTCGTCATTTGTAGGAGAAACGACGGTCTGTTTGGTTTGGTCACCAGGCGGCCGCGTCGAAGCTTTCGTTAACAACCCGGTAGCGTTAACTGGATCACAAAAAGGCAATATTACTTTCACCCCTGTCTCACTCTGTGGCTGGCCCACCTTAGAAAGCTCTTGTTTGGAAATTTTCCTACTTCTCCAACTTTAAACGCCTTCGAGACAGTCATTCCACCATCTTCAGTATATTCGAAGTTGTTTAACTGGCTAATACCACTTAACTTGGGCGCGTTAGTTGTTTGTTTTCTTGTGTTTAATTCAATCACTGATGCTCGACAGCCCTTTATTCCCCCATAGGAGTCAATAGCTTCCTTTAATTGACGCGCTGTTATAACATCGTGACCTAAAACAAGACAGAATTATCGGTAAAAACTGTGAAAAGAAGGGTGCTGTGAACCGTTGGCGGGCCAATTAAAACGCAATACGTTTTTTGTTGCTCGTCGGACTTTTTGTGGTCTTCGGAAATGCAAATAACTTTACTATTTTTACAGCCTCTTATTAATTTTTAATAGCCCTGAAACTATTTATCACCTTCATTAAGATATCTTCCGATGTGTGCTTTGAGGGGTGCGATCTTTCTGTCGCAGACATCTTTCCCGCTGTTCGCCTCACTGAAGCTGTAATTCTTAAGCGCCAACCCCCGTGTTCTTGTAATGGTTGGCGCACTGATAAGTAACGCAGCGTTTTGGTAGCAGCCAGCGTTGTCACTTCGTAAAAATAGTTCTTTCAGAAGTGGGGACAACCGCTTAAGCTGCTGAACAAGGTCTTCCAGAATTGATAAGACTGCAAACCAATCTTGGTTGCCTTTATCAAGAATGTGAACAAAAGTCCGAACCTTTGGAAAGAAAAAAATACAAAAAGATTGCAACAAAATGAGCATTAAAAATTTTTAATGTAACGCTAACTGTAGCCTATCGATTACAAACGCCTTCATTGCTCTCCCGGCTTACCTCGAGTAACGACAACTCAGAAAAAAAACAAGAAGACCCAGGAACCCCGATCTTGTCATATTTCCGAGTGAAGTGACGTAAATTCTCTCTCTCTCTCTCCTCTCAACGGGGTGCTAATCCATGAAAAGTTACATGTAACCAGCGGTATATTTATAAGCCTGGGTGGGGAAAACATGCGCCCACTGTCCAAACTTAAACCTGAGTGGACCTGTATTTTCACTAGCGGATTCACACCTTCAACTTAGCAGAGAGTCTCTGCTTATCCAGAACATATATATCATGTCGGCCTTGCGGCCTCAGTTTGACCTAAGAAGAAGGTGGTTGCCCGAGTCCCCCAGGGACCCAGCCTCCCCCTAGATCTGCCATTGATTCCCGTCGTCTCACTTACAACACTTCACTAGATCTGCGTTTCCGTCCACATACGGAGCACATGTCTGTTTATTTTACATGCACTCCAACTGACTGGGGCAAAAAATATATATCTTTCACTTCATCTTCCGCAAAAACTATGCCTCTATAGAGCAGCTAGCACGAAAAAAAATGCATTACACGTGCGTTTATGGCTTGTTCGTAAGGAATGAAACTGATTTTTTTCTGACAAATCAATTCAAGCGACGTGCTTTGAAGTTTAAAGATAATTAGAATCAGAAAGCAAATTTGTTTACGTCAAACTCCGCTTCCTCGTTATCAGGTCTTGTTATGCAGGCCGACACATGCCAACTGACTCCTTTTTTCCCAAACCATTCTGCCTGGGTTTCTCTGTAGCTTCTTGGGAGCCATTTCATGGCCCAATCCATCACCACTAGCACCTGCCGCTCAGTAAGATTATCAAGAATGTTTATTTTGGCTTTTTCTTGGTTGGTAGCTCTCACTATGTGCGATTTCCAGTCCATAATTCTTTCAGTGGCTTTCTCGATGTCATATTTGAGCTCTTCTTTCTGTTCCTGGTAACTGAAAAAAAATTGATTTTGAAATAATGACAACATTACAGAAAATGCTCTTTTGGAGATTTCACCAAGCGAGATGAGTACACGGAAGAATGGAAAGGGAATGAATACTAATTGTTCGCGCTTTTTCACTTCTCTTGTGCATTGGCTGTTAACAATATATCGTACAATGAAGAAAGCCTTAGACAAAGGTTAAGGCACTTGTAAGCGACAAACTTCTACTTTTTTGTTTGTTTGTTCTTGATGTCGTTGTTTCTTTTTTCCCGTGTAACAGACGCTAGGGACAAGGGTGCCAACCTTAATGTTTGCAACAAAAAGTGCGGGTCGCGTTTTCCTGAAAGTCATAAATATTTGGCATATGTCTAATAGTATGCAACTGTATTTTTTACCTAAACGAAATATCACCACTTTCTAGTCCAGAAATGATGTCGTGAGCGACGTTAGCACAATCTAAACATCGATCACACTGCATAGTGTGTTCATGGTCACAGGCCGTTTTGTACTGGACATCATCGGATGATAGGGCGAATCGTATACAGTGATCAGCACAGGGACTCTCCTCCAACACGTGAAGTTTGTAATCAGCTTTTAAGTATCGTTTAGCTGCTCGTACCCTTTGTCTAACGTTATCAGCCCACTGGAGAGATGAACCTACAGCAAGTACAAATAAATCGGCTTATACTCTAAATCTCACCTAGCAAAGTCATCTACAAGCGATCAAAAATTAAATAGGGCATAAAAGCAGAATAGACGGTGGGGTTGGTTACTAACATACAGGTGGTAGGTTAAGCGTACCTAGAGATGTCATAGTTTCTACAACCTTTTCCAATGTATCAAATGCTGATGCACCTTCGCTTGTGACGTTATCAAGGCCGGCAAGGGACTTTTTCTGGGAAGCTGCACATATCTGTGAAAGAAAAAATTTGGTAACACATCACTACATAACGTGGCTTTTTATCCTGCTTCCCACAACCAAAGAGTCTAGAGTACTTGCAGCCGCTATTTTACACTCTTGTTAATTCTGACCAAAATCACAGTTAATAGTTCAGACTACTCTAGTTATTTTTTCTTTACCTTAAGGATAGAAAATAGGGTCGATCTACCAAGAGGTTGAAAGCCAACTTCACTGCAATACAACTGATATAGTTTGACCATTCTGGAACTAATAACAGTGCGCACTAAGTCAGGTATCTCCAATCATTCTCCAGATGACATTTTTATCTTCCTTGTACCATAGGCTACATCCTGAAGGTAGTGAGGGCTACTTATAAAATCCAGGAAGTGGTCGACTTTCTCTCCTTCAAGACGATAACGCATCACGGGTTCTCTAACTTCAGAATGGCCTGCACCAACAACCACAGCATGCTTTATTGCTTGATCAGTTCGCCAGGTTGTGAGGCCTGGAACCAGTTCTTTCAGTTGCGTTTTAGTGTAGTGCTGCGCAAAAATAGACAAGATTGTCATTTTTGTATACCAAGATGTCGCGCCTTCATAAAGTGAAAGCAGGGTCGCCATAATGTTGTTTACTGGTTCAGGTTCTATTGGCGTTGGATTTGCGACCAATGCAAGAAGTTCATTAGACTGCCCTGGTGCAATACATTCTAGTGTTGTTCCTACTAATTCTTTTGACTTGCGTCTTATGTAGGAGCGTGTGCTTCTGGCCACATCTTGAATTGGCTGGGTGAGTTGAAAGCGCACCGGACTAATTCTTCCACCGCTTAATCTTTCAATATGCTGATTTAGAACTTCCAGCCCGCGATTTGGTGTAGGTGTTGGAAGGTATTCTTCTTCCTCTTCCTCATCTAGACATAGCGATCGCATCAATGCAGGAATTGGAGTCATGATATCATCAAGGTGACTCTCCAGTCTATAGTATTCTCCTGGTTGAACCTTAAAAAAGAAATAAAATTTAGCCCTTTGTCGTGACGCGCAGGTGTCCCCAACACAAACGATGAATTTCGGTTTAGATTTTTCATGAACAAGTCAATTCCATATGCAGGGAGCGCATCACTTGATCATCATCACTTGTTTGGGCTTTCTGTATTAAAATAACAGAGTATGGTACATCCACCTGACACTACCCACCTGCACACGTCTTGGTCTAGACAAACTGGTTTCAAGTTCCTCAGCGATGTCATCCTCAAACACTTCACTTTCTGGCTTTCTTATATTCTTGACCAATTTCGTTTTGTATAGAGAAAAAGAAAAAGTGTCAGCTTTCTTCTGTTTTTGCCCCTTACACTTTTTATATGCCAAGCCCTTTACATTGATTTATAAGTGTTTATTTTATAGCTAAATTTTATCTTGTTCAAGGAGCACTCTTTTCTTATAGTTTCTCGAATTTCAATTCAATTAAATTGATTGTTGCCTATGTTATAAATTTACCTACGTTCCCTGTTTATATGGTGAAAACGTTCCTTGCGTAGAAGTTTTAAACGCCGAGCTACCATGGGCGAGCCAACTCTTCCTTGGTTTCCTTACAAAACTTGGCCAACCCTTTAAATGAGAATCAAAAATTTGACTAAGCAGGAAGGGTTACGCGGCTAGTGGGGTCGATTCCGTCAAGAGGAGACAATCACCCTGATGTATAAGCTCTTTTTGGCTCGTGTCTTGTTTCTTATTTTTGGTTTGTCTGTTGTTTTTTTTCCTTAACAACGTTCGCTTAAGTTGACTTGGCGGGACAACCGGGAAAATTACATAAACGAGTTTTCATTGTCCCCCGCGTCGTTAAGCAAAAGGGCGTGGTGGAACAAGAAAGAGACTTACATTCTAAGCGGCCAAAGCTGATACAGCTGCGTGGCTCTCTAATAGAAACCCTTTTTAATCCAACTAATAAACCATTTTTTGCTACTGACTTTACTCATAGTTATTAGAGGAGACTGGTTATGAAAAGCGGCAAACATCAATGATAAAAACAACAGTGCTGCAGTTTATGTTGGAAGCACCCTGAAAGTGCACAATCCTTTGTT